ATCATAAATGGCTAAAGAGTATTTCACCCAAGTTTCATGAAGTTTTGGAACTGTGCAGTGTATTTTATCTTCGATATTGTGTCCTTCGATATTTCGTCAAATTGCCGCCATTTTAATGGCTCGCCGCTTCTCTGCCCGATAAATGCCACTTCTTCGTTTTCATATGTATTTAGATTACAGTATCCAAGAGTACTTCATTGTAGAATAGTCCCAATCCAAAAATTGGCAACATTTGTCCCATTAGGAAGGAAAAATCCTCCCGTATACCATTTAGGTTCAAAATAAAAAACAAATCATTTGAAAGTCACACGCAATCTTCGCGAAAACTTCTCGTGGACACATGACAGGGGGGGTTGAATATTTTCACGAATATGTTCGCCACCACAGAAACATAACTAAATATATTGTATTTATTGTATTTTTATGATTTATATTAAAAACAATAAATATTTGCATAGTTTTGTCATAAATCATAAAAATACAATAAATACAATATATTTAGTTATGTTTCTGTGGTGGCGAGCATATTCGTGAAAATATTCACCCCCCCTGTCATGTGTCCACGAGAAGTTTTCGCGAAGATTGCGTGTGACTTTCAAATGATTTGTTTTTTATTTTGAACCTAAATGGTATACGGGGGGATTTTTCCTTCCTAATGGGACAAGTGTTGCCACTTTTTGGATTGGGACCATTCTACAATGAAGTACTCTTGGATACTGTAATCTAAATACATATGGAAACGAAGAAGTTGCATTTATCAGGCAGAGAAGCGGCGAGCCATTAAAATGGCGGCAATTTGGCGGAATATCGAAGGACACAATATCGAAGGTAAAATACACTGCACCGTTACAAAAGTGGATGAAACCTTCTTTCAAATCTTCTTCAGCCATTTATGATTATGCAAAAGTACAATAACTGGATGATATTTGCGGGATTCGGCGATAAAAAGCAAACAAGACGGCAAAATATGGCTGAAATCGTGTTTTCGTGGGGGGTAAGTGAAATAAAATGTATTATATTAAAAGAAAACAATGACAATCCTTATGAAATCCACAATAATTATATTGAACTAAGCATAGTTTTTCATCCCATGATAATTTTTTTTAGGAAATAAGAAAATTTAATTTCTGCCAGGCATATTAGTTATTTTGTGCATAATCAGCAATTTACCTGGGGTGGTGCATGGTCATTTTCTTGTAAAATATTATACTCAGACAAATTTTTCCTTCCAATGACCACCCCTAAAAGCAACCCTTCTAAACACTATAAGCACTTCAGAAAGGCTGCATGTCGCTTTTGCTTTTCGGAAGTTAGAGCTATGTCGGCACTGCCGTTTCAGAGCGGGGTCATTTTCAGGACTTTCGCCCCGGATTCAGGTTTTGGCACATATGCCATTTTACCCTAAAACAGTTGAGATTACCTGTGCTAAATGAAATGCATACAAACATCTATACAGGTCCTAGACTAATATATATATATATATATATATATATATATATATATATATATATATATATATATATATATATATATATATATATATATATATATATATATATATATACAACTGCATGCATCATTTACTAGTCTGGATAGTTAAGGTAATTCCGCAGTAATTGTTCCCGAAATGAGAATGTGCTGAAACTTCCCAGGCATGGAGTTTATGATATACTTAAAGTAAAATAACACAAAAAAGTCGGGGTCACCGAACTCGTTAAGAAGATACGAGAATCACAATATACCACCTTTACCTCCAATATGGCGCCATCTTGACGCTCATTACGAGTAGCCGCAAACTCAAAACAGCCCGATATTTATTGACGTTTTTAGCGCGGATTTTGCTTTAGTAAACCTATCTTGTAATTATTTTTGAAAAAATATTGTGTTTTGAGCAAAATGAAACTACTAACGTGTACAATTCTGATCCACAAATATCTTTTGCACATTTCTTTACACATCTTTCTTTGAGAACATGCATTGATAAAGCATTTTTTTCAAGATCCAGAAATGATTTTTCTTGTAATTTCGGATATGAAATGTAAAATGCATTAAAGAAATAAATTATCAGTTAAAAAACGGGGGTCACCGACCTTTTTAGGGAATTGTGGCATTAAAACGTGAAATACAAGTAAATAAATATACTACAGACACAGGGAACCCTAGCTACACTTTTGTATGCCTTTTTTGAAAACATTGATTTTAACGTAATTCTTTGCACGAATGTAACCATAGATGTTTTGAAGTAACATAAAATTGTCATAAAATGATATATTTTTTTAAACGGTACATATAATGGATGAAATTATAAGTTATAAGATATGCGCAGTAAAAGTGCGTGATGCAAAACTGCGGAATTGCCTTAAGGGCAAAGTCCTACATATTAATGAGATTTTTGGGCATCTCATGATCACTATAGAACTAACAGTTGAAGGGTTTTTGAAGATGGAAATTTTGAGGGGGAAGATTGTATACAAGTCTAGACTGAACCAAGGGCAGTTGCAAAAAATGCAACTATAAGCTTTCTGGCAGGAATCAAACCTGTGGCCCATTGTATATAACCTTCCGCTCGTAATTTCCATCTAGAAAAACCCTTCAACTTACACATTCATTGGTTGAAAATGAAAAGATCTCTACTGTTATGTAATTTTTTTAGTGATTCTCATGTGCCTGATATATGTAAAGAACAATGTTATATCAACACCTACATCCAGCTCTTGGAGAAAACTCTTCTCCACCAATTGCTTGACTTTCCAACACACTGTCATCTTTACGTCCGTCCTCACACCTCATTCTTTCATAAAAATCCTCCAAGCCAATTGTCATTTGAGCAAAGACAAAATGGCTTGGAGGATTTTCACATACGAGCCTCCTTTCAGAGATTTGCCTGAAATAAAAGTTTCACTTGAGAAAACTAGAAAACATATCCAGATCAATAAACAACATGCTGGTTATACACAGTGGTTAGACCAGTCATAGACATAATTTATGTGAATTTTGCATAGGAGATAATTTCTTTCCCCTAAACAGGCATTTATAGCCGATTACTGTGATCAGGGCATCAGATTCTTTGGCCTTTGCCCTGTTTACAGTTTCCTACAGGCAGATGTTTTTAAAAGCAAGTGACATATACATACAAAAAATAAATAACTCATGTATACTGCAATTTGCCTGCCAAGCAATTATTTAAATATGACAGTTGTAAACAAGGCAACACGCATGTCGTAAAACTCTTGCTTTTAATAACTAATATTTTTATTAAATTAACTTTTTTAGAGAGATTTACCTTGGATCTCGAAAAGGAGGACGAAAACTGGACATATTCTTACGCTTTTTCATTTTTATTTACAGGATCAAATTTCAACATCAATCCTCGACTGTTTGAGATTGCCGCCATTTTGAAATAATCACTTGAGTCACTATATGAAAGGTTTACATGAAGTAGTGCGTCACATTATAGGCGCGCAAAGGGGAGTGGGACATGAGCGTTCTGGTTAGCTCCTCAATTTTCGATGCCTCAAGCCCATAATTCCCTGCGCTTGTTCGTCGCGACGCACCACTTCATGTAAACTTTTCATATAGTGACTCGCATGAATTTTTTTTATTAGCACCTGGGGACGAGGCAGGTTGCCAACTATAATTTTGTAAAAATCCCAAGTGATCCCTAAAAATTCTCGATATTCTCACTTTTTTACGTCATTTAATTTAGGTGGTTTTCGTGCCAATTTCGGGTAGGATAGCTTCTCACGTCATGTTGTAGAAACGAAATCTGACATCAAATATGCAACTCAATAGGGTATAAATGCTAGTGGACGAACCCTGGATTTTCAGCAAAATTATTTATTGGTCAATTTTACCAAAAAATCGATTTCTAAATTTCAAACTTCCCTTTCTCAAAAAATCCCCCCAAAATCCCGAGATTGACTTTTAAAAATAAAAATAAAAAAAAATCCCAACTGCTTCAAAAAATCCTGAGATCTCGGGATAAAATTTGGACTTGGCAATGCTGAACCCCTTACCAGTGGCAGCGCCACCACGCCAGGCTACAGAATGGGGGGGGGGCATTTGAGGGGCAAACTCATACTTTGGAAGGCAAGATATAAATTTTTAAAACGATACTGCTATTTGCCCATGCCTTTGTCACAGGACTTTCACCCCCCAGGAGATTTCAGTCCCCCTCTCAAAAGGGGGCGAATACCCAAGGAATATCGTCCCCCCCCCCCTTTAGCATATTCGCCCCTCATATATGCGACAGTTTCATGTATACGCGCATTCACTAATGAGTAATGACAACTTATAAACCATACATTTTCCGATAACATCAAAACGCTTGTGTAGCCTTTAGTCGCTCTCAGTGACTAATATATAATTTTTTGGGGGGAGGCAAATGTCGCCCCCCATCAAACGCCGCCACTGCCCCTAACATTTTATACCGCTTTTTGAAAGATAGGCAAAGCAAGTAAAGGTTAGCTTTTTACGTTTTCGTAAGAGTGAAGTTTTATGATTTGAAAAATCGTGCAAAGATTGGCATAAAAATTGAAAAAGAGGGAAAATGGGGAAAAAGAAAATTCCGATCATTTTTTAAAGTGGAGCTACATTTGCGTGCAAAAAAGTAAAGGGTCAGGGTTACCGCTGTTTCGAACCCAATGTTCTATTGAATTTCAAGGCCGCTGAAGCAGAAACGGCCGGTCTGAAAATTCTATTTTTAGAATCTACGGTTCATAGGCTTTCTGTCGATGCCTTACTCGTGTGTCAATAGACAGTCCATGAAGATACAAAGCAGGTTATTCCAGGTGCATAATCGAAAAACACGTGAAAGTTAATATTATGCGGTTTCGAACCTTCCGTTCTATTGAATTTCAAGGCCTCTGCAGCAGAAACTGGAATTTATCACGGTCTGAAAATTGTATTTTTGCAATCTACGATCCGTAAGCCGTCTATCGATAGCTTACTCGTGTATCAATATACAGTCCATGAAGATACAAAGCAGGTTCTTCCAGGTGCATAATCGAAAAACACGCGAAAGTTAATATTAATGCGGTTTCGAACCTGATGTTCTATCGAATTTCAAGGCCCTTATAGCAGAGACTTGAATTTGGGCCAGCCTAAAAATCGTATTTCTGAAATCGACGATCCATAAGCTTTCTGTCGATGCCTCATTCGTGCATCACAAGGCCGTATGTGGAGAAAAAAAGCAGTTTTTTTCAGCTGTATAATCGAAAAATATTTGAAAGTTAATATTACATAAGTGAGGGTTAGGGTTAACGCTGTTTCGAACCCAATGTTCTATTGAATTTCAAGGCCGCTGAAGCGAAAACGTGAATTTACGCCAGTCTACAAATTGTATTTTTAGAATCTACAGTTCATAGGCTTTCTGTCGATGCCTTACTCGTGTGTCAATAGACAGTCCATCAAGATACAAAGCAGGTTATTCCGGGTACATAATCGAAAAAGACGTGAAAGTTATATTATGCGGTTTCGAACCTTGCGTTCTATTGAATTTCAAGGCCTCTGCAGCAGAAACTGGAATTTATCACGGTCTGAAAATTGTATATTTGCAATCGACGGTCCGTAATCCTTCTATCGATGCCTTACTTGTGTGTCAATAGACAGTCCATGAAGATACAAAGCAGGTTATTCCAGGTGCATAATCGAAAAAGACGTGAAAGTTAATATTATATAAGTGAGGCTTAGGGTTAGCGCTGTTTCGAACCCAATGTTCTATTGAATTTCAAGGCCGCTGAAGCGAAAACGTGAATTTACGCCAGTCTGAAAATTGTATTTTTAGAATCTACGGTTCATAGGCTTTCTGTCGATGCCTTACTCGTGTGTCAATGGACAGTCCATCAAGATACAAAGCAGGTTATTCCTGATGCATAACCAAACAAGACGCGAAAGTTAATATTATGCTGTTTCGAATCTTGCGTTCTATCGAATTTCAAGGCCCTTGTAACAGACGCTTGAATTTGGGCCAGCCTGAAAATTCTATTTCGGGAATCTACGTTCCATAAGCTTTCTGTCGATGCCTCATTCGTGCATCACTAGGCCGGACGTGGAGATAAAAAGCAGTTTTTCCAGCTGTATAATCGAAAAAAACGTGAAAGTTAGTATTATATAAGTGAGGGTTAGGGTTTGGGCTGTTTCGAATCTGATGTTCTATTGAATTTCAAGGTCCTTGTAGCGGAAACGTGAATTTGTCACGCTCTGAAAATTATATTTTTAGAATCTACGGTCCATAAACTTTCTATCGATGCCTTATTCGTGTATCAAAAGACAGTCGATGAAGATGAAAAGCAGGTTATTGCAGGTGCATAATCGAAAAAGACGTGAAAGTTAATATTATGCGGTTTCGAACCTTGCGTTGTATTGATTTTCAAGGCCTCTGCAGCAGAAGCTAGAATTTGTCACGGTGTGAAAATTGTAATTTTAGAATCTACGGTCTATAAGCTTTCTATCGATGCCTTACTTGTGTATCAAAAGACAGTCTGTGAAGAAACAAAGCAGGTTATTCCAGGCGCGTAATCGAAAAAGACGTGAAAGTTAATATTAATGCGGTTTCGAACCTGATGTTGTATCGAATTTCAAGGCCCTTGTAGCAGAGACTTGAATTTGGGCCAGCCTGAAAATTGTATTTCTGAAATCGACGATCCATAAGCTATCTGTCGATGCCTCATTTCGAATCAGATGTTGTATTGAATTTCAAGGTCCCTGTAGCGGAAACGTGAACTTACGCCGGTCTAAAAATCGTATTTTTAGAATCCACGGTCCATAAGCTTTCTATCGATGCCGTACTCGTGTGTCAAAAGACAGTCCATGAAGATAAAAAGCAGGTTATTCCAGGTGCATAATCGAAAAAGACGTGAAAGTTAATATTATGCGGTTTCGAACCTTGCGTTCTATTGAATTTCAAGGCCCTTGTTTCAGAGACTTGAATTTGGGCTAGCATGAAAGTTGTATTTCTGGAATCTACGATCCATAAGCTTTCTGTCGATGCCTCATCCGTGCATCACTAGGCCGGATGTGGAGATAAAAAGCAGTTTTTTCCAGCTGTATAATCGAAAAAACCGTGAAAGGTAGTATTATATAAGTGAGGGTTAGGGTTTGGGCTGTTTCGAATCTGATGTTCTATTGAATTTCAAGGTTCCTGTAGCGGGAACGTGAATTTGTCACGGTCTGAAAATTATATTTTTAGAATCTACTGTCCATAAGCTTTCTATCGATGCCTTACTCGTGTATCAAAAGACAGTTCATGAAGAAACAAAGCAGGTTGTTCCAAGTGCATAATCGAAAAAGACATGAAAGTTAATATTATGCGGTTTCGAACCTGATGTTCTATCGACTTTCAAGGCTCTTGTAGCAGAGACTTGAATTTGGGCCAGTCTGAGAATTGTATTTTTAGAATCTACGTTCCTAAGCCTTCTGATTTGTGCATCATTAGACGATAAAAAACAGGTTTTTACAGCTGCATGTTTAGTCGAACAAAACGTGAAAGTTAATACAATTATATTCGAACCTTTCCCTGCGCAAAATGATTCCGACACAACCAGGAATCGAACCTAGCTTCTCACACGTGCAACGCTTTGTCCTTTCCATTAGACCACCTCGCCTACACTTGCTGTAATTCCCTTTGTTATTCTACTTAACTCTTTCTCGTCTCGGGTGGAATTAATAAACAACGATGCCCGGCATTAAAATGCTTTCGGCACAACCAGGAATCGATCCTGGCTTTACACACTTGCAACACTTCGTCCTTACCACTAGACCATCTCGCCTATACACTTGCTGCAACTCCTTTTTTATTCTACTTAACTCTTTCTCGTCTCGGATGGAATTAATAAACAACGATGCCTGACATTAAAATGCTTTCGGCACAACCAGGAATCGATCCTGGATTTACGAACTTGCAACACTTCGTCCTTACCAATAGACCATCTCGCCTACACTTTGCTGCAACTCCTTTTTTATTCTAATTAACTCTTTCTCCTCTCGGGTGGTATTAATAAACAACGATGCCTGACATTAATTAAAATGCTTTCGGCACAACCAGGAATCGATCCTGGCTTTACGCACTTGCAACACTTCGTCTTTACCACTAGACCATCGCGCCTACACTTTGCTGCAATTCCTTTTTTATTCTACTTAACTTTTTCTCGTCTCGGGTTAAGAGTTAAGTAGAATAAAAAAGGCGTTAAAGCATGTGTAGGTGAGATGGTCTAGTGGTAAGGACAAAGTGTTGCAATTGTGCTCAGCCAGGATCTGGTTCTGTCTTGCGAAAGCATTTTATTATCAGGCATAATAAAATGCTTTCGAAGTAAAAAAGAAGTTAAAGCAACTGTGGGCGAGATGGTCTAGTGGTAAGGACAAAGTGTTGCGAGTCGGTAAGGTTCGAGTTCTGGCGAAAGCATATTATTATCAGACATCGTTGTTAATTAATTCCACCCGAGACGAGAAAGAGTTGAGTACAATAAAAAAGGAGTTAAAGCAACTGTAGGCGAGATGGGCTAGTGGTAAGGACGAAGTTTTGCAAGTGCGTAAAGCCAGGATCGATTCCTGGTTCTCGCGAAAGCATTTTAATATCAGGCTTCGTTGTTAATTAGTTAACGACCTGAGACTGCAATCACGGCTTCAATTTTTGAATTGCAGAATAATTAGATGCACTATCTAGTGTATGTAAGATATCTATGCTTTGTCCTTACCACTAGACAATCTCGTCTACAGGCAAATTTGCCCCCCCTACCGCCCCCCTCCCGCCCCCTCTCACGCCTTACATTTTATACCGCTTTTTGAAAGATAGGCAAAGCAAGTAAATGTTAGCCTTTTACGTTTTCGTAAGAGTACAGTTTTATGATTTGAAAAATGATGCAAAGATTGGCATAAAAATTGGAAAAGAGGGGAAATGGGGAAAAAGAAAAGTTCGTCCATTTTTTGACATTTAAAGTGGAGCTACATTTGCGTGCAAAAAAGTAAAGGGTCAGGCCCTGAATTTAAATATAATTTGGTGATGAGGGATTATATAGATATAAGTATAGTTTAATACCAGTGAATAGATCTGCTAGTCGAGTGGTATATAGTCTCCTGGTGTTATATGAGGAAGATGTACGGATCGATGCCTGCAGTAGTCGGAACCATTTTAATTAATTCCACCAGAGACGAGAAAGAGTTAAGTAGAATAAAAAAGGCGTTAAAGCAAGTGTAGGCGAGATGGTCTAGTGGTAATTCAGGACGATGTGTTGCAAGTGCGTAAAGCCAGGATCGATTCCTGGTTGTGCCGAAAGCATTTTAATTAATGTCAGGCATCGTTGTTTATTAATACCACCCGAGAGGAGAAAGAGTTAATTAGAATAAAAAAGGAGTTGCAGCAAAGTGTAGGCGAGATGGTCTATTGGTAAGGACGAAGTGTTGCAAGTTCGTAAATCCAGGATCGATTCCTGGTTGTGCCGAAAGCATTTTAATGTAAGGCATCGTTGTTTATTAATTCCATCCGAGACGAGAAAGAGTTAAGTAGAATAAAAAAGAAGTTGCAGCAAGTGTATAGGCGAAATGGTCTAGTGATAAGGACGAAGTGTTGCAAGTGTGTAAAGCCAGGATCGATTCCTGGTTGTGCCGAAAGCATTTTAATGCCGGGCATCGTTGTTTATTAATTCCACCCG